TCCTAACCTCTGGAGGAATTATTCTTTAAGATGTAAGCGGCTGGGAGTGGTGGCCCACGCCTGTAATCCCAGCACTTTGGGAGGCTGAGGCGGGTGGATTACCAGGTCAGGAGTTCGAGAACAGCGTGACCAACATGGTGAAACCCTGTTTCTACTAAAAATACAAAAATTAGCTGAGCATGTAAAAATATTGTAAAAATACAAAAATCAGTGCGCACCTATAATCCCAGCTACTCAGGAGGCTGAGGCAGGAGAATCACTTGAACCCGGGAGGCGGAGGTTGCAGTGAGCCGAGATCACTCCATTGCATTCCAGCCTGGGCGACAGAGCGAGATTCCATCTCAGAAAAAAACAAAAACAGAAAAAGAGTTTTATCAATTGTATTACTCTTTACAAAGAACTAACTTTAGCCTTGTTCATGTCTCTCTATTGCTGGATTTCTGTTTTTTACTTTTTTTGTGTGACAGGGTCTCACTCTGTTGCCCAGGCTGGAGTGCAGTGGTGCAATTTTGACTCACTGGAAACTCTGCCTCCCGGATTCAAGCGATTCTCCTGCCACAGCCTCCTGAGTAGCTGGAATTACAGGCACCTGCCACCACGCCCGGCTAATTTTTGTATTTTTAGTAGAGATGGGGTTTCACTATGTTGGCCAGCCTGGTCTCGAACTCCAGACCTCAGGTGATCCATCCACCTCGGCCTCCCAAAGTGCTGGGATTACAGGCGTGAGCCACTGCGCCCGGCTCTTTTACTGATTTTTAATTGAATTGCACTGTGGTCAGAAAACATACTCTGTGATTTCAGGTCTTTGAAATTGATTACACCTTGCTTTGTGACCAGTATTTGATCTATCTTGGAAAATGTTTTACGTGTCTGAAAGGAATGTGCGTTGTGCAGTTGTTGGGTGCAGGTGTCCGCGTATTTCCCATGGATCCGTTGGGTAATTGTTGTTCACATCGTCTGTATTCTCACTTAGTTTTTTTGGCTGCTTGTTCTATTTACGGAAAGATTGTTAGTGACCTCTGATTGTGGATTGTCTATTTCCTCTTTTTAATTCTGTCCATTGTTACTTCACTTCGCAGCTTTGTTATTAGGTGCATACACACATTAAGATTGCTTTGTCTTCGTGTCGAATTGTTTCTTTTACGATTGTGACATGTGTCTGTAGTGATACTTAACAAAAATAAGTGCTTTATCTGCCCTCAGTGTGACCACGGCAGCTTTTTGTTCGTTTAGTGTTTGCGTGGTTTTTTCCCATTTGTTTTACCATTCTAGATTCCTATATTTGAAGTGTATTTTCTGTAAATGGCACATGTTTAGATCTTGTTTTTGAGGCGGAGTCTCTGGAGTGCAGTGGCGTAATCTCACTGCAGCCTCCACCTCCCTGGTTCAAGCAGTTCTTCCACCTCAGCCTCTCAAGTAGCTGCGGTTACAGGCGCCTGCCACCATGCCCAGCTAATTTTTGTATTTTTAGTAGCGATGGTGTTTCACCATGTTGGCCAGGCTGGTCTCAATCTCTAGACCTCAAGTGACCTGCCCACCTCGGCCTCCCAATGTGCTGGGATTACGGGCGTGAGCCACTGCACCTGGCCTGTTCTTTGTTTCTTAATTTTTTTATATCTTCTTTTGGATTAAATAGCTTTATTTTGTCCTCCTGTTTCAGCTTATAAGTTTTAGTTTTAATGCTTATCCTAGAGGTTACAATATGAATTATTGACTTATCACAGTCTACTTTTTTTTTGAGGTGGAGTCTTGCTCTGTCGCCCAGGCTGGAGTGCAGTGGTGTGGTCTCGACTCACTGCAACCTTCGCCTCCTGGGCTCAAGTGATTCTCCTGCCTCAGCCTCCCAAGTATCTGGGACTACAGGCACATACCACTATCCCCAGCTAATTTTTGTATTTTTAGTAGAGATGAGGTTTCACCGTGTTGGCCATGCTGATCTTGAACTCCTGACCTCCAGTGACCTTAGCCTCCCAAAGTGCTGACATTACAGGCGTGAGCCACCACACCGGGTCTCACAGCTTTAAATAAGTACATTCTATTTCCTCTACAATGCACGAAACAGTTTAACTCAGTTTACCTGTCCCCTGACTTTTGTGCTATTATTAATTCTACATATCGGCCAGGCGCGGTGGCTCACACCTGTAATCCCAACCCTTTGGGAGGCCGAGGTGGGCAGACTGCCTGAGGTCAGGAGTTTGAGACCATCCTGGCCAACATGGTGAAACCCTGTCTCTACTAAAAATACAAAAATTAGCCGGTCGTGGTGGCGGCGCCTGTAGTCCCAGCTACTGAGGAGGCTGAGGCAGGAGAATGGCGTGAACCTGGGAGACGGAGGTTGCAGTGAGCCAAGATCACAGCACTGCACTCCAGCCTGGGCAACAGAGCAAGACTCCGTCTCCAAAAAAAAAAACACAAAAAAAAAACCAACTACATATCACAAGATTATAACATTTTTGTTTTGAACAGTGAACATTCTTTGTATTTATCCACATATTTCCTCCAGTTTCCGTTTGGGATCGTTTCCTTCAGCGCAGAGAACTTCCTTGGTAATAGCCCTTGTGCTTTCTTTCCGCATTTCTATGTCTGAAAAGTGGATTTTTGCTTTCATTCTTTAAAGAATATTTTCACGGGCATATTTTTCTAGGTTTGCAGGGTGTTTTTCTTTCAAGACTTGAACAGTTTCATTCCATTGCTTTTTGGCTGTCGTCGTTTCTGTTAAGAAGTCAGAGGACTGTCTTACTGTTTCCTTTGAAGTCATCGTGCCCTTTTTCTCTGCTAAATTTTGTTTCCTTTCCCTTCCTTTTATTTTATTTTATTTTTTTACCAGTTTGACGCTGATGTGCCTATGCACACATCTTTGTGTGTGCTTGTGTTTATCCTGAGTTTCCTGGCTCTGTGGGTTGGTATCAGTCATCAGTTTTGAAGAATTGTTGGCTATTATCTCTTCAGATTTTGTGCTGCCTCATTCTTTCCTTTTTCTGTGACTCATTTCCACGTATCTTAGAGGTTGCTTAACTGTCTTATCCTGTGTTCTTTCTTTTTAGACTTTCGTTTTGGTCTTCTAAACATTGGTTTCCTTTTGATTCCACTAATTCTGCTTTGTGCTGTGTTCAGGCTGCTGGTGAAAAAGCTGTTTGGTGGGTCCGTTCGGGTATTGTATTTTCCAATCCTGGAAGGTGCTTGAGATTCTGTTCTATAAATTTCAAGTTTCTGCTGAGACCCTTCGGCTTTTTGTCTATTTCCTTAACGTGTTAATCCTAGTTAGACTGAAGTCTTCGTCTGCTGTTAACGTCAGCTGTGTGTAGACCTGTTTTGTTGTCTGATGTTTTCTTGTTTTGTTTGTTTGAGATGGAGTCTCGCTCTTGTCGCCCAGGCTGGAGTGCAGTGGCACGATCTTGGCTCACTGTAACCTCCGCCTCCTAGGGTCAAGCAGTTCTCCTGCCTCAGCCTCCTGAGTAACTAATTTACAGGTGCCCACCACCACGCCCGGCCAATTTTTGTATTTTTAGTAGAGATGGGGTTTCCTCATGTTTGCCAGGCTGGTCTCGAACTCCTGAACTCAGGTGATCGCCCGCCTCAGCCTCCCAGAGTGCTGGTATTACAGGCGTGAGCCACCGCGCCCGGCCTTGTTTTCTTGTTTTATTCTGAGACAGGGTCTTGCTCTGTTGCCGAGGTGAAGTGCAGTGGCGCAATCATGGCTCATTGCAGCCTCGACTCCTGGGCTCAGTCTCACCTTAGCCTCATCCCACCTTAGCTGGGACTACAGACGTGCCCCGTGCCTGGCTACTTCTGAAATTTTTTGTAGAGATGGAGTGTGCTGGTCTCAAACTCTGGCCTCAACGGATCCTCCTACTTCAGCCTCCCAAAGTGCTGGGATCAGGCCTGAGTCCTCACATCCGGTTAATGTTTTTCTCCCGTGTTTCACCCTTCACGTGAGGGTGGGTGATGAGGTAGGCCGTGAGAGACGGTCTGCTCTTTTCTTGGAGACCACCTCGGTCCACGCAGGGCTCAGGTGTTTGTGGAGACGGAGAAGGGTGGCTGTGGTGTCTGCCCGTTGTCCTCATGGGGGCCGTGGGCCCCGCTTGGTGGGGCACAGCAGCGACCTGGAGCTAGTTACCGCGTCAGCTCCCTGCCGTGGAGACTCTCCCGTGTGGAGCTGTTTTCCCCAGTGCGTTGCTCACTTTTCTTCCTGTGCGCTGACTTTGTTTGTTTTTTATCTGTTGGTTTGCTTTGCTTGGGTTCCTGTGTCTCTTTCCTGGATAATCGAGAGGTGCTGGCACTCGAGCCAGACCTGGCCCTGAGCTCTCCCTGCTTTGTCCCCAGTCACGTCCCTCCCCTCAGCTGGAGGCTGCGTCCCTCCCTTTGCTGAAAGCCAATTGCATCTGAGGTCGTGGACTTTTCCTCCCCTCTGTGGGCACATCTGCCACCGGCACCGGCTGCCGGGGCAGGACGTCTCCCCAGCGGTGATGTACCTTCTGGCCATGGCTCCTGAGGCCCCGGGGTTAGAGCGCGGCGGTGTCTGTGGGGGCCGCCGCTTGTCCATGGGACCCGAGTCTCAGTCTCCCGGCCGCTCCCTCAGGCCTCTGCGTTTCGGTGGCTGGTGTAGCTGTGCAGCCCGAAGCCAGCCTCACCTCCCTGGGCTCGCTGCTCGCAGCCGCGTCTGCGGAGCCCTTGTTCGGATTCCCCTGCCCCGGTCTAGGCGCCCGCAGCTTCCTCTGAGCCCGGGGCTGGATCGCGCCCCCTGCTGGCCGCTCGCGGCTCCCTGCACGCGGTCGCTGGGACTCAGGCGTGTGCGGCGCCCGGAGCCTGCTCTGGACCCACGAGCGCAGCAGCGCCCAGCCCAGGAGGAGCACAGCGATGGCGGCCGGGGCTTGGGAAAGGGAGGCCGGGACGGTGCCTCCTCCCTGTCACAGGGGCTGAGCTGGCGGCTCCGCGTGTCCTCGCGTGTGTGGGTGCAGATTGGGTTCCTGCAACGTGACCTTTGCCCTCTGCTTGTGCAGTCTACGAGAATGAAGACCAGCTGCTCTGGGACCCCAGCGTCCTCCCCGAGAGGGAGGTGGAGGAGTTCCTGTACAGGGCGGTGAAGCGGCGTTGGCAGGAGATGGCTGGGCCCCAGCTCCCGGAGGGAGAAGCCGTGAAAGACAGTGAGCAGGTGGGGGCTGCCGTGCCGGGGACGGGGGCTGAGGGCTGCAGCGGCGTGGGCCAGCGCTCACACCCCGGTGCCTCCAGGGGCCAGGCAGGGCAGAAGGGAGGGCAGGGGTCAGGTGTGCGGAGGCCTGGGCACTGGAACAGCTACTCAGGTTGGGAGGGGACCAGTTAAAACCACGTATCGGGGAGGAGGTGTAGACGCCTCCGGGTGTCTCTGCGGGGGGTGTAGACACCCCTGATGTCACTCCCTGCATAGAGGTATCGGTGGCCTTGACAGTGCTCAGGAGGGTGGTGTGGACGGCCCTTGATGCCACTCCCTGAATGGTACAGACAGTTCTTGCTGTCGGCTCCTGGGCTGTGCTCATGGGAGTAACCACCACATCCTCTCCCCAGGCGCTGTACGAGTTGGTGAAATGCAACTTCAACGTGGAGGAGGCCCTGCGAAGGCTGCGGTTCAACGTGAAGGTGATCCGAGGTGAGCAGTGGCCTGGGCCCTTCTTCCGCTGCGGCCCCACCCTGGGCACTGCTGACCCGTCTCCCCGGCCGTTTTTGCAGATGGGCTCTGTGCTTGGAGTGAAGAGGAGTGCAGGAACTTTGAGCATGGCTTCCGCGTGCACGGAAAGAACTTTCACCTGATCCAGGCCAACAAGGTGCGGACTCCGCTGCCCTCCTGCTGCCAGGCTCCACCAGGGGCTTCTTGATCTGGGGAGGGGCTCAGGGTCGGAGGCACACAGCACACGGCCGACTGGAGGCCTCGTGTCCCGTGTCCCGTGTCCGCCTCCTCACCGCACGCCCATTGCTGTCTTCTGTAGTTGACTCTGCTGCCTTCTTGGGGCCCCTTTCCCGTCCCCGCAAGAACAAGGTTCTGGTTTTGGGAAAGAATGTGCCGAAAGCTGAACTCAGTAGTTTCTGCCTCACATTCCACCCCAGGGCCCTGGGCACCTCATCTTCATGTCTGTGTCCTCTGAGCAGAGCCTGCTGTCTCAGTGTCCAGCACTGACCCCACAGCAGAACCCCTGACCCCTGGGGACCAGGGGTCTCCTGTTCCCTCCTCCAGGGACCCAGGTCCTTCTGCCACCCGGGACACACCCTCACGGCAGGCAGGTGCTGCCGAGTGCCGGGGCCTTCTGCCCCCCCTAGACCTTCCCCACATCCTCTGGGTCTCTGCGTGGCTGCAGCAGTGCCCTCTGCCCTGCGGCTTTTTTTTTTTTTTTTTTTTTTTTTTTTTTGAGACGGAGTCTCGCTCTGCCGCCCGTGCTGGAGTGCAGTGGCCGGATCTCAGCTCACTGCAAGCTCCGCCTCCCGGGTTCCCGCCATTCTCCTGCCTCAGCCTCCCGAGTAGCTGGGACTACAGGCGCCGCCACCTCGCCCGGCTAGTTTTTTTGTATTTTTTAATAGAGACGGGGTTTCACCGTGTTAGCCAGGATGGTCTCGATCTCCTGACCTCGTGATCCGCCTGTCTCGGCCTCCCAAAGTGCTGGGATTACAGGCTTGAGCCACCGCGCCCGGCCGCCCTGCGGCTTCTTGAGCGATAACTTGCCAGCCAGCCTCTTGGCAGTCAGACATCTGAGGCGGAAAACCTTCCCGTGGTTCTGAGCGGTGGCTTCCCCGCCTCTGTCCACGCCCCGCTTGGGCACTGAGCCCCTTCAGGACCAGTGGGCTGGGCCTGCTCGTTGCTGAGCCTTGCGTCTGCCTTGTGTCCTGGGGCCGTGCTCCATTTGGGGCCCGATGTCTTCCACTGAAGGGCTGGAGTGAGGAGGTGCCTGCCCGGGGCTGATGGCACGGCCCAGGACGTTGCTCGAGTGACTGTGTGGTGCCGTGCACAGGAGCCGTGGACTGTCCTTGTCAGACTGCAGCACCGCGTGGTGTTTTGATTGGAGACAGCTAGGGGAGGTGTGGCCGGAGTGTGGTGCTCCCAGGCTACACTCGAGCCCCTGTCAGTTTCTATATCTCCAGGCCGTGTTTCTCTATCTCCAGGCCGTGTTTCTGGAGCTCCGGGCCGTGTTTCTGTGGCTCCGGGCCGTGTTTCTATGTCTCCGGGCCGTGTTTCTATATCGCCGGGCCGTGTTTCTGTATCTCCGGGCCGTGTTTCTATATCTCCGGGCCGTGTTTCTCTATCTCCGGGCCGTGTTTCTATATCTCTGGGCCGTGTTTCTGGAGCTCCAGGCCGTGTTTCTGGAGCTCCGGGCCGTGTTTCTGTGGCTCCGGGCCGTGTTTCTATATCTCCGGGCTGTGTTTCTATATCTCCGGGCTGTGTTTCTATGGCTCCGGGCTGTGTTTCTGTATCTCCGGGCCGTGTTTCTATATCTCCGGGCCGTGTTTCTATATCTCCGGGCCGTGTTTCTATGGCTCCGGGCCGTGTTTCTATATCTCCGGGCCGTGTTTCTGGAGCTCCGGGCCGTGTTTCTGGAGCTCCGGGCCGTGTTTCTATATCTCCGGGCCGTGTTTCTGTGGCTCCGGGCCGTGTTTCTGTGGCTCCGGGCCATGTTTCTGTGGCTCTGGGCCATGTTTCTATATCTCCGGGCCGTGTTTCTATATCTCCAGCCTGTGTTTCTGGAGCTCCGGGCCGTGTTTCTATGGCTCCGGACCGTGTTTGTGTATCTCCGGGCCGTGTTTCTGGAGCTCCGGGCCGTGTTTCTATAGCTCCAGGCCGTGTTTCTGGAGCTCCGGGCCGTGTTTCTCTAGCCCCGGACCGTGTTTCTCTATCTCCGGGCCGTGTTTCTGGAGCTCCGGGCCGAGTTTCTCTATCTCCGGGCCGTGTTTCTATGGCTCCGGGCCGTGTTTCTCTATCTCCGGGCCGTGTTTCTGGAGCTCCGGGCCGTGTTTCTGGAGCTCCGGGCCGTGTTTCTCTATCTCCGGGCTGTGTTTCTATGGCTCCGGACCATGTTTCTATATCTCCGGGCCGTGTTTCTGGAGCTGCGGGCAGGTCCTGGCCCAGCCATGAGGGGCTGTGTGTAGCCAGCACACGTTGGTCAGCCTGTTCTCTGGAACGGGACAGGGAGCCAGTGCGTATTTCAGGCTGGCCCTTCGCAGAACAGCTCCCTCCTGACGTGCATTTGAGGTTTGCCCTCCAGAGAGGTTGTCTCGGTCTCACCCCCAGGCAGGACGCCATGTTGTTCTTGCAGCGGTGAGCACGGGGCACCCTCGTTCTGGGTGGCCGTGGGTTTGTTGGCCCAGAGCATGTCCAGGTGAGGGGGGGCTTTTCCGCCATCACCAGCGGTGGCCACAGCCTCAGGCTCACTGGGGGACGAGCCTCCCGGGTGGAGACGCTGGAGGTGTGGCCAGGTGTGCGCCCAGCTCTGTACCACCTGCCACGCGGAATGCACTCGCTGTGTGCTCCTTCTCGTCTCCCTGAAGCCTTACGTGCGTGTGATTTTGGCCTTTATGTGTTACGTTGTGAATTTTGAGTCTGGGGTTCACAGAACCCGTGTGTCCTTCTGTGGTGTTTTCTGTGCACTTGGGAAGCATCTGCTGGGCCTGGAGGGATGTGTTCAGCGGGAAAGCAGGCGCTGCGGGCTTGTGCCTCTTCCTCCCGGGGCGGGGGCTCTGTCCAGAAGTCTGTGGACCCGGGGCTGTCACTCCCACTCCCACTGCCACCCCGGGCCTGTGAGAAGCAGGTGGATGAGGTGGACGTGACCGGCCTGGGGCTCATGGTCTGGGACAGGGTGGGTGAGCAGTAGACGGCCTGGAGGGTCCGTGTGTGTGGCTGATGCTACAGAAGGGAAAGAGGGGTCTCCGGCCAGGAGCTGGGGGGTTCTGAGGGGGCTTGAAACAGGAGGCAGTGCCACGGTGCTCCAAGCCCCCGTTCCCCGTGGTGGGCGTAGCCTGTGGGCCTGAGTAGGGTCATGGGTCGGGGGGTCTTGCGTTATATGAGAGTGGTGGGTGCTGTGCCCCTTCTGTGCTGTCCCGGAGTCCCAGGAGTCATCCTGGGATGGTGGGGCAGGGGCAGGGGCTGGGCAGTGGGGGACAGATGGCGCCTGACCCCTCCCCACAGGTGCGCACACGGTCTGTGGGTGAGTGTGTTGAGTACTACTACCTGTGGAAGAAGTCGGAGCGCTATGACTACTTCGCCCAGCAGACACGGCTGGGCCGGAGGAAGTACGTCCCGTCCGGAACCACGTGCGTGCAGCGCTCCCCGGCAGTAACGATGGGCGGCCACCCCGCCGGGGGTGGGCACGCGGGCGCCTGGGCCGCACCTCCTGGGTGGGGGCGTCCGTCCTCTCTGCTGCCCCTCATGGTGCCCTCTCCCCACAGGGACGCAGACCAGGACCTGGATGGCAGCGACCCCGATGGCCCTGGCCGTCCGCGCCCGGAGCAGGACGCCCTGACTGGGATGCGCACAGGTGAGGCTGGGGAGTGTCTCCTGCCCTGGGGGCGGCCGTGGGTCTGGGGCCTGTGAGTGAGGCCAGGTGGAGCCTCTCCTCGCTGGTGCCCTGTGCTGGGCCAGCCGTCACCAGGAGTGGGCGTCTGGGTGGTGGAGGGCCAGCCAGGTGATGTGGATGCCACTCTGCACACCTCGCTGGGAGAAGGGAGGGCGGGCAGGGCTTGTGCTTACCCTCTGGGCTTGCTGGAGGGGTGCCCCGCATGCTGAGGTTGGGGTACATATCAGGCCTTAGTCTCCTGGGAGGGCCTGCCTGCCCCAGGGTGGGGACTTAGCCCCAGCCATCAGGACACTCAGGAAGGGCAGGGTGTCCGGAGCTGTCGCCAGCGTCTTGCACCTCAGGCCGTGACGGAGCACACGAGGGCCTCGGGTGGGATTTTCCCACTGTGTCTGATGCCATCACGGGAGGGTCCTTTGCTGCTGGCTCTGCGTTTAGATGGTTGAGGCTGGGAGGGTCACCCCGTTTCCAGAATCTGGTTGTCTCCGTGGTTTGTTTGCTCAAGGGCGTCCCCCTCTGCTGCTTCCTGGAACTGTGGTGCGGCTGCGTGTGGGACGGTGCGGCCCGTGCGCTGCGTGTGGGACGGTGCGGCCCCGTGCGCTGCGTGTGGGACGGTGCGGCTGCATGTGGGACGGTGCGGCCCCGTGCGCTGCGTGTGGGACGGTGCGGCTGCGTGTGGGACGGAACTTCCCCAGACGCTGTGTCGACCCTCGCAGTGCCCCAGGCCTTGCTCACACCCTTGTCTCTTGTACTCTGCTCTGGTGTTACGGATGTGGGCTGTGACCCACTCGGTTGATTTTATGACCTTCTAAAACTGGGGTCTTTAACCTGGGGGCTCACAGATTTCCGAGTAACTGGTTCTTCTGTATTTGTACAGAGGCTTTTTTAGGGAGGGATCCACAGGCTTTGCTGGACCCAGCAGGGTTGGCAGGAGCTGGCACAGGAGTGGCATGGCCGCAGCCTGGTGCCTGTGGGCGGCCCCACCCTCTGTTGCATTCTCTTCACAGACCCACTGAGTGTGGATGGCACGGCCGGTGGTCTCGGTGAGCCTGCGGTGGCCTCGGATGGCCTCCCGTCCTCGGAGCCGGGGCCCTGTTCCCTCCAGCAGCCGGACGAGCCCCCCGCCGGACCCCCGTCCCGTCCGCCTCCGGCCCTGGCCGACCCGGCCTCGTACCCGCCGGCTGTCATCGCTCCGGAGGCAGACGCCGGCCCAAGGCTGGCTGTGGACTTCGCCCTGCCCGAGGAGCTGCCTCTCATCTCCAGCCGTGTGGACCTGAGCGGGGACCCGGAGGGGACTGTGGCCCCTGCGCAGGTGGCTTTGTCGGTCACCGAGTTTGGACTCATTGGCATTGGGGACGTGAACCCCTTCCTGGCCGCCCACCCCACGTGCCCGGCCCCCGGGCTACACTCGGAGCCCCTGTCACAGTGAGTGCCACCCCATGCCCGGAGCTTCCCCGACACTCCAGTGAGGTCCCCCCAGCCCTCAGGCTGCGCTGAGGGTTTGCCCCAAGGACAGTGCGGCTCCACGAGCGGCTCTCGGGGCTGCTTTAGGGTTATTCTTGACTTGTATGTATTTTCTGACTGGAGAATACATTCGTGTGGTCCACATGCTCCACAAATAGGGGCAGGTGCCAGGCTCTCCCACCCCTGCTCCAGCCACAAGCTCCCCCCAGAGCACCCGGGCCCTGCTGCCGTAGGTTGTCGGGGAGGCAAGGCTGGGAGTCTCGAGTCCAGCGCTCAGCACTGGGCTGTGCAGGCATGTGGGGCCACCCTGACACCCCGCGTCTCTCTCGCTCTCTTCCCTGCAGCTGTAATGTGATGACCTGCTGACTCCTGGCCGCGGGCGGCGTATGCGGCCCAGACTGGACTTGGCACTGCCGCTGGGCCCGCCTCTGTCAGTCTTCCTGACCCCTTCCCCCGCCCCGGGCCTTGGGGTGGCACCTCCTCTGCTTCTGAACACGTCAGGACTGGTGTGAGGTGGCTGGGCCGTGCGCCGTTGCCCCGGCCATGCAGACTGGACCCAGAGCCACACACAACGCCGTCAGCGCCCGGCACTGCCACCCGGGTCCAGGCTGCTGCCTGCACATGGGATCCGTCAGGCAGCTGTGGACAGAAAAGACCCGGCCTTTGGGACGCGGGGCAGAGCCGGCCGCCTCGTCCCTTCCAGCCCGCAGAGGCGAGGGAAGGTGTCACTGCCCCGGCGGGGAGACGGGCAGGACGCCCCGCCCCGCACCAGCAGCCTCCGCCGGGGCACCCTCCGCTCCCTGCTTGGCTCTGTCTCTCCACACCTGGCAGGGCCGCGGGCTGCCCCAGCCCTGGGGGTCGTGGGCAGCTGCTACTCAGTGCCAACCCCGTGGGGCACAGAGCCATATACCTCGCTGTCCGGCCCCCAGCCCGGCCTCCCCTCCCACCCCGTCGTCTCCACTTCAGGAAAAGCCGCACTTTACACCCCCACCTGCCTCTTCCCCTCCATCCCTGTTCCCGATCCTGAGCGGTTGGGGTGGGGGCCCCTCAGCAACCCCAGGCGTGGGTTTGAGGAGACAGGTGACTTACACCCCCTCTGCTGTCCTCCCCTGGTACCAAGGCAGGGAGCCTCGAGAGGAGCTGGCCCTGCCGGCCGTGCAGGGGCCGGACTCCAGCCTGTTTCCCCAGCCCTGCAGGTCTTCCTTCTGTGGGAAGCTTCCCAGCAAGATGGCTTGGAGTCCTGGTCCCTCTTCCCCGACCCCTGTCCGTTTCTGTTTCTGTTTACACGTTGGCGTGGGGTCCTCCGTGGGCCGCGGCGTGCCCTGCCCCGGGCGTCGTCCAGCCTCCTGTGCTCGAGCCCCTTTCTGAGTTGGACTCGACCATCCCTCACCCCACCAAGGACCACACTGTGAAGTGATAACTGCCTTGAACCCCCCCTTGCTGTTTTATTTATTAAACTTGATTTGAAGCCCGGGGTGCCTGGTGGTGGGTTGGGTGGGGGCTGGGGGCGCCCGGGGTGCCTGGTGGTGGGTTGGGTGGGGGCTGGGGGCGCCCGGGGTGCCTGGTGGTGGGTTGGGTGGGGGCTGGGGGCGGCAGGTGTCCCTGTCATCTCACTTGGGGGCCTGCATGTCTGTTGGAGGATCCGGGATAAGTTGTGAGCCACAGAGGCGAGGGGGTGCAGTGGGGGCATGACGTGGTGGGCTCCATGTCCACGTCAGTGAGGGAACTGTGGCCATGAGGACGGGATGTGAGGAGGGCCCACGTCTGGGTAGAGGTGGTCGGCGCTGCCTCCTAGAAGTGACAGTTAAGCTGGAACCTGAAGGGGAATGGCCCTGCTTTGCTGGAAGTTTGCAGGGTCCTGGCAGGCGTGACAGCCGATGCAGAGGACAGAGGCCTGGGTCTACAGGAGAAGCTGAGGGCACAGAGGGCAGCGGCTGGGCGGGGTGGGGACAGTAGGGCATGGGGCTGAGATTTGTTCTTGGTGTGGAAGCCGCTTGAGGTCTGCATTGTGTTTTTTCTTTTTTTCTTTTTTTTCCAGACGGAGTCTCACACTCGCCAGGCTGGAGTGCAGCGGTGCCATCTTGGTTCACTGCAGCCTCCGCCTCCCGAGTTCAAACGATGCTCCTGCCGCAGCCGCCCGAGTGGCTGGGACCACAGGAACCCGCCACCACGCCCGGCTAATTTTTGTATTTTTCTGTGGAGACAAGGTTTCCCCATGTTGGCCAGGATGGTCTCAATCTCTCGACCTCGTGATCCGCCCGCCTCGGCCTCCCAAAGTGCTGGGATTACAGGCGTGAGCCGCCGCGCTTGGCCCCTCCTCCTTTTCTGAAGCGCATTTTTACAGGATAGAGAATTCTGAGTGGACTGTGTTTTTCTTTGGGCACGTTAAAGTTGTCCTCTTCACGCCTGCTTTCTATTGTTTCTGATGAGGAATTTTCTCATTCTTCTGTTTTCCTTAATATGAAATCTCTTGTCTCTGACTATATAAATGGTTTTCTTTTGTTTTTGGACTTTGGCCATTTGTGATGTACCTGGGTCTGGTTCTCTAAACTGAGCTACTTCGACCTGAGGGTGGGTGCATTGTAACAGATTTTGAAGTCTTGATTGTTATTTCTGCAAATATTTGTTTTCTTTTTCTTTCTTAGAGTTCCATTTCTGGAAGAGTATTTCTCAATTTTTTCTGATGTCCCACTCTGTCTTTTGGGTCTCTGGTACACGTGCCACGTCCTGGGTGTTGTCCCACAGGTCCCTCCAGTCATGTGTCACGGCCGTGGGTGTCCCACAGGTCCCTCCAGTCATGTGTCACGGCCGTGGGTGTCCCACAGGTCCCTCCGGTCATGTGTCACGGCCGTGGGTGTCCCACAGGTCCCTCCAGTCGTGTGTCACGGCCGTGGGTGTTGTCCCACAGGTCTCTCCGGTCGTGTGTCACGGCCGTGGGTGTTGTCCCACAGGTCCCTCCGGTCGTGTGTCACGGCCGTGGGTGTTGTCCCACAGGTCCCTCCGGTCGTGTGTCACGGCCGTGGGTGTTGTCCCACAGGTCCCTCCGGTCGTGTGTCACGGCCGTGGGTGTGTCCACAGGTCCCCGTCTGTGTCCGGCCGTGGGTGTCCCCAGGTCCCTCCGGTCGTGTGTCACGGCCGTGGGTGTTGTCCCACAGGTCCCTCCGGTCGTGTGTCACGGCCGTGGGTGTTGTCCCACAGGTCTCTCCGGGGGCGGCGTGGGTGTGTCCACAGGTCCGGCTGTCCGCCGTGGGTGTCCCACAGGTCCCTCCGGTCGTGTCACGCCGTGGTGTTGTCCCAGTCCCCGTGTCACGTGGTGTCACCCGGTGGGTGCCTTGTCCCACAGGTCCCTCCGTCGTGTGTCACGGCCGTGGGTGTCCCACAGTCCTCCGTCCCCCGGGTCCCCGCCCCCGCGGTCCCGTGTCCCCAGGTCCCCTCTTCACCCGGGTCCTCCCTCCGGTCGTGTGTCACGGCCGTGGGTGTTGTCCCACAGGTCTCTCCGGTCGTGTGTCACGGCCGTGGGTGTTGTCCCACAGGCCTCTCCAGTCACTCATGTTACAACCCTGGGTGTTGCCGCACAGCAATCTCTTTGTTCTATTTTTTTCTTTCTCTGTGCTTGTGTTTGAATAATTTTTTTTTTTTTTTTTATTTTTTGGAGACGGAGTCTTTGTTGCCCAGGCTGGAGTGCAGTGGTGCGATGTCGGCTCACTGCAACCTCCACCTCCTGGGTTCAAGTGATTCTCCTGCCTCAGCCTCCCGAGTAGCTGGGACTACAGGCGCCCGCCACCAATTTTTATATTTTTAGTAGAGACGGGGTTTCACCATGTTGGCCAGGCTGATCTCGAACTCTTGACCTCAGGTGATCCACCTGCCTCAACCCCCCCAAAGTGCTGGGATTACAGGCGTGAGCCACTGAACCCAGCCCTTTTTTTTCCGAGATGGAGTCTTGCTCTGTTGCTCAGGTTGGAATGCAGTGGCGTGATCTCGGTTCACTGCAACCCCTGTCTCCCGGGTTTACGCCATTCTCCTGCCTCAGCCTCTGGAGTGGCTGGGACTATAGGTGCCCGCCACCACGCCCGGCTAATTTTTGTATTCTTAGTAGAGATGGGCTTTCACCATGTTGGCCAGGCTGGTCTCAAACTCTTTTTTTTTTTTTTTTTTTTTGAGACAGAGTCTCGCTCTGTCACCCGGGCTGGAGTGCAGTGGCCGGATCTCAGCTCACTGCAAGCTCCGCCTCCCGGGTTCACGCCATTCTCCTGCCTCAGCCTCCCGAGTAGCTGGGACTACAGGCGCCCGCCACCTCGCCCGGCTAGCTTTTTTTTTTTGTATTTTTTAGTAGAGACGGGGTTTCACCGTGTTAGCCAGGATGGTCTCGATCTCCTGACCTTGTGATCCGCCCGTCTCAGCCTCCCAAAGCGCTGGGATTACAGGCTTGAGCCACCGCTCCCGGCTGGTCTCAAACTCTTGACCTCGTGATCCCCCCGCCTTGGCGTCCCAAAGCGCTGGGATTACAGGCCTGACCCACTGCGCCTGACCCAGAAGTTATACCCTTAAGACCCAGTCCAGGGATGCCAGGGCCTTCGGCAGCAGGAACCAGGAGTCGTCATCCACATTATGAGATTTCGGTGCTTCGATTTCTCTGCTGCCCACACTGACCTTATTCTCAGGGGCAGTACCCTTTGTGGTGACTGAGATGGCACCAGAAGCTGCAGGCCCACAACCTTGCATCTGTGATTCCTGTGGGAAGCTTGTGTCTTGCCCAACAGTTCCAGTAAAACTGGTAAAATTTGTTCCTGGGTGTCACGCCCATAACTGAATCAGGAACTGCCGAGCAGAAAGGGTGTCCTGGGCCGGGCGCGGTGGCTCAGGCCTGTAATCCCAGCACTTTGGGAGGCCGAGACGGGCGGATCACGAGGTCAGGAGATCGAGACCGTCCTGGCTAACCCGGTGAAACCCCGTCTCTACTAAAAAATACAAAAAACTAGCCGGGCGAGGTGGCGGCGCCTGTAGTCCCAGCTACTGGGGAGGCTGAGGCAGGAGAATGGCGGGAACCCGGGAGGCGGAGCTTGCAGTGAGCTGAGATCCGGTCACTGCACTCCAGCCTGGGCAACAGAGCAAGACTCCCTCTCAAAAAAAAATAAAAAAAAAGAAGAGGTGTCCTGGTTGGCCAGGCCTGGGTCCCTTGTTCCCCTTTGGTAGCAGGACAGTCCCTATGGAGGAACAGTAAGAGGGAGGAGGACGTGGGCAGGCCGGGCGCCGACACCCAGAGGCACGAGCCTCCCATTTGTGTGGGGTGAGCACAAAGGTCAGGAGGGCAGTGCAGGCACAACTTCCCTCTTAGGCCACGGAATCTGAAACTGTGAGGAGCCGCAGTGGTTTTTTTTAGCTGAAGTAGAGTCGGGAGTCATGTGCCACGGCCATGGCTGTTGTCCCACAGGTCTCTCCGGTCACGTGTCATGGCCGTGGGTGTCCCACAGGTCCCTCCGGTCACGTGTCACGGCCGTGGGTGTCCCACAGGTGTCTCTGGTCACGTGTCACGGCCGTGGGTGTCCCACAGGTCTCTCCGGTCACGTGTCACGGCCGTGGGTGTCCCACAGGTCCCTCCGGTCACTGGTGTCACGGCCGTGGGTGTCTCACAGGTCCCTCCGGTCACTGGTGTCACGGCCGTGGGTGTCCCACAGGTCCCTCCGGTCACTGGTGTCACGGCCGTGGGTGTCCCACAGGTCCCTCCGGTCACTGGTGTCACGGCCGTGGGTGTCCCACAGGTCCCTCCGGTCACTGTGTCACGGCCGTGGGTGTCCCACAGGTCCCTCCGGTCACTGGTGTCACGGCCGTGGGTGTCCCACAGGTCCTCCGTCACGGTGTCACGGCCGTGGGTGTCCCACAGGTCCCTCCTTCCGGCCGTGTCCACGGTTCCGTGTCACGGCCGTGGGTGTCCCACAGGTCCTCCGGTCACGTGTCACGGCCGTGGGTGTCCCACAGGTCCTCCGTCACTGTCACGGCCGTGGGTGTCCCACAGGTCCCTCCGGTCACTGGTGTCACGGCCGTGGGTGTCCCACAGGTCCCCCCGGTCACGTGTCACGGCCGTGGGTGTCCCACAGGTCCCTCCGGTCACGTGTCACGGCCGTGGGTGTCCCACAGGTCCCTCCGGTCACGTGTCACGGCCGTGGGTGTCCCACAGGTCCCTCCGGTCACTGGTGTCACGGCCGTGGGTGTCCCACAGGTCCCTCCAGTCACTGGTGTCACGGCCGTGGGTGTCCCACAGGTCCCTCCAGTCACTGGTGTCACGGCCGTGGGTGTCCCACAGGTCTCTCCGGTCACGTGTCACGGCCGTGGGTGTCCCACAGGTCCCTCCAGTCACTGGTGTCACGGCCGTGGGTGTCCCACAGGTCCCTCCGGTCACTGGTGTCACGGCCATGGCTGTTGTCCCACAGGTCTCTCCGGTCACGTGTCACGGCCGTGGGTGTCCCACAGG